TCTCCCAGGTATGGCATGAGTATTAGCACTGAGCTAACGATCCGGGAACCTGACATCCAGTATTGAAAGGATGTCTATAGCATGCAATCAACTCCCTCAATCTTGAAACTTACCAGAACTGTCCAAAAAGCAATAACATCCCTGAACTGAGACAGGATGAGGGAGAGCCAATAGACAGAACTGTAACTATCCCATATACCACTTATGTGACCCACAACACAGACGGAGGAAATCAAGGGAGGAAGATAGACAACCTGAAACATGTGTGAAGAGTTATGTTGATCAGTTCTACTCAAAATCCAAAACCTAGCTGCAGGGTATCGACATTGGCATGGGATTAGGATAAGGGCTCCCAATCAATGTATTTTGACATATCACTCCTTTGTAATTGTATATCTCAAAGATGAGGACAGTATGTCATCTTCACCTGCAGAACACCACCGTCCTATTCTGCACTGAATGGTTCTAGCCATCTTTGTGTGGAACCCATTCATGAGGGTGCCTCCACAGTCGACCATCCCAGCGGCTTGGAACTAGAAAGTGGTAAGTACTCCCATAATCCACTAGAAGAAAGGAGTGTGAAAAGGCAGAAGTACATCATCATCTGAGACAGTGCAATGGGTGACCACGAAACCCTATTCTGAAAAGCAGACCATACCGAGTTATTCACTATAGGCATGGCAGGGATGGGCAGCTATCCCATTCTGCTTTACCCATGCAGTCTATAGGTGGTATGGTCTGGGATGTGCAAGTTTATGAAGTATTCAATTCAATAGGCATAATAGGAATTTAGGTTAGAAGTATATTTGGGGAATGAAATATAACCAGGGGTGGTCAGAAACTTTTATTTCTTTTCACCCCGCTTCATAATTAGGAATAAGTGGCTGAGACTTTCATGGGCTCAACGTTTACAAGAGTAGAGGTTTTAACTGATAGTTTTCAAAGTGAGGTGCTCACAAGCTGAGGGAAGAGCTGCGAGGAGACATGGAGAAGAAAAGAAAGACGGAGAGCTTCGCTGAGCTGTATGCTGACTGTCGATGTTTTCTTTCTTTCGTTCTCCTGCCCATGGGCATTGGATGACCACGTGGCATTGGGTAGTTGTAGAGCAGAGCAGGGAGATGTAGAACGAGTACGTCTGTTATTGTCTAGGATACTAAGATTAAACTAAATTCAGATTGTTGGCTAGCAGGTTAGGGTAATGTCTATTATTTAGACAGATAACTAAAGAGTCACATTTACAGTTACATTAAACCTGTGATGGTCCTTTCAGGACTGGGATCTAAGGATCCAAAGCATGAGGAAAATTTTGCTGTGGGGGAAAACGGGAGTACCCCGAGAAAAACCCATTTTCACTGGAAAGCCATGGAATATAAAGCGCAAATCAACATGTTTGTACAGTGCGAATTTCAAAGTAAAGAATATCTGGTCAGGCACCACTCATCACAGAGAGGGATCCATATGATGACGAATGAGAAACAAGGCTCCTGAAAAGGAAAGAAAGTATGAATAAAATCTTATCAGTCAGAGACACACTAAAGTCTGAAGAACGGCCACAGGTGGATGACAAAAACCTGACAAAGAAGAAACCACGATATGATGTAGATAATTGGAACAAACGTATTGGGCTTGGTTCACATGCCTGATTGTAGAATCTCCTCCAATGGATGATGAAGACAAGAAGTGAGGGATAGGTGAGGTGTCTAATCTGATGAGAAGACACCAGTTACCTTCTTCTGGGAGGAATAAGCCAATCCAGGCGTGAAGATGCAGAATGTAGGACCAGTGACTGAGGTTAATGAAGAAGGTAGGGGGGATGATGGAAGAAGTAAAAGAAGGGAGAGTAGCAGGTGCCATAACCATGGAAACCATGGTTGAGCTGGCCAGTAAAGAGCAATCAAAAGGACCCAACAAGAAGTGATATGGATGAGAGAGATCACCCAATGAAGTAATCTGATAGGAGGATAAACATAAAGATATTTGTGGGATCAATCTTGGCTGAAGGCACTGACTGCCAGAGCCTGATGGACCGGCAACCAAAAGAGAGGTAACGTGTTATTGAGACTTGTAGCAAAGGCATCCACATGGGGAGAACCCCACTGAGTTCAAAGCTCCCTGAAAACAAGAGGATCTATGGAACACTCTGTTGGATATATCAGGTCGGGGTAGTAAAGACAATCCACAATAAGACTGAAAGCACCTGGTACATGACACGAAATGAGATGTATGTTTTGCATGTGGGCCAAGTATAAGAAATCCAATGTCGAAAACATAGATCTTTCGACTGGGTGCCCCCTTTGTGATTGATATGAGCCACAACTGTAGAATTGTCTGAATGAACCATCATCAGACAATGTTAGACAAGAAGAAGAAAGTGACTAAACACCCAAGGTACAGCTAGAAGTTCGAGAACATTGATATGCAAAGCATTTTCGTCCACAGACCAAAGGCCTGAAGCTTCCTGGTGGTTGACCCATGCACCCCAGCCCTGCATGGATGTGTTCATGAAAAATGTAGATTCAGATGCAGTGGAGGAAGTGGCACGCCTGCTGAAGTATGTGCCTTGTCCAACCACCAAACCAGATCGTCTCACAGGGTCTCAATAATGGAAGTAGAAAGAGGAACCTCCGCAAGGTTCCAATGATCATGAAGAGCCCACTGAAGGGATCTCATATGGGCACAACCAAGAGGGACCAGTGATGTCACTGAAGAAAACATCACCAAAAGAAATAGAACCTCATGAGCATGGTAAACTAACAATTCCATAGAATAAAGTCTTACAGGAGAAGGCTGGGCCTGACTGATACGAATGTTGAAAAGGTCTTCCAAATGGACGAGATATTGAGTAGATCTGGGGAAGGACTTCTTTAATTTGATTAACCAGCCCACTCGAGCAGCCACTAAAAGGAGCTGCCGAATATGGCTGGCTGACAACCAATTTCAGAATGAACCAGAGGAAGCCAGTCATCCATGTAATAGTAAAAACTCAACCCCAGAACACAAAGATGTTGAGTAAATGCTCCAACCACCCAACAGAAAACATAAGGGGCCGAAGCAAGATTGAATGGTAGTGCTCGAAATTGAAAAAACAACCCTGAGATAGACAAACCAAAGATAAAGATGAGACTGAGGCAATATAGGTATATGGAGATAAGTGTTGGTGACATCCATTTTGGTCATCCACAACCCCAGAGAAAATGCCCACATCAGGGTGAAAAAAGCCTCTATGGTAAACCGGGGCAGGTGAACGAAGCAGTTGAGATGAGATAAATCTATGACAGGCCTCCAGTTATTGGTTTTCTTGGGAACAAGAAAAAGTCTAGAATGAAAACCTGTTGAAGGATGGAGAACAGGTTCGATGCCCTGCTGAGATAGCAATTCCCAAACTGCTTCCGACAGATGCTGAATGGTCATGGGTTACTGAGGAGGAGGGAAGGAAACTAGAACGGAGACACAAGAGGTGGGGAAAGGAAGGGGATCATGAATAAAACTTGAAGAACCCATTGATCATCAATGAAGGAACATCAGCTATATAAAGAAATTGGCATGCCTAGCTCCTACCAGACCAGAACCCACAGGATAGTCACCAGTACCGTTGGTGACATTAGGTGCATCACTGAAAAAAATTGAGAAGCACCTCACAAAGGGATAGGTAAGGGTTGGGAAGGGGAAGGACAGGAAACGGTAACTGGAGTTCTGACTAAGACAAACATGCAACAATACGGATATGGGTAGATTGTCGTTTGACCGATGCAACCCGTGGCTCTAGCATTTCAGGAATCATGTCAAAAATGTATCACCGCAGAAATGGAGCCATAAGTAAATCCCAAGATATATCAATGGTAAATGGACATGAGCCAAAATCACATTACGACCTAGAAAGTCCCAACAACAGAGAAACCACGAACACAATGCCAGAGCCAAAGACGACGAATGAGCTAGTGTGAAGGAAAGAAGGGAAAAGGTATCCCCAGAAAACCCCTCAGGATTTCTGTGAAGAGCCTCAGAAAGGCGGTCTAGAGAACAAAGATACCATAAACTGGACATATGTTAGACTGACAGGTGATTCGGGAGCCATCCCCAAGCAGGCAATATGGAACCTAACAACAGTTGGTCCAAAAAAGGACAGTTGGCACGATGGTGTGAAAGCACAAACTGCTCTGAAGCCCATGGGGTGTGAGGCATGCTAATCTCATTGCTTAATTGCAAAGCAAATTGATCAGCATGAACCCAATTATCAGGTGAGGGAGGAAAAACCAAAAAAAGAGGTTGGAGGACTGGTCATGAAGTAAGGAAGGATGTTTGTTCATTAGAAACAGGAGAAAGGGATAAAATATCACATATTTGGGAAACAAAATTCAAAAATGATGGTAAGGTACAGTAAAATCATAAAGCAGAAATAGACAATCCAAAACCTCATCAGTCTGAACAGGCTCTGCCTGTTTGGGAGGAACTGTGGCAAGGTATGTGGACAAAGGTCCGAAATTCATTGTGAAGAGTACACCAAAACTGAGCAGTGCATTTAAAAACTGCAACTGGAACTAACTGATATAAACTGTCTGAATGAAAATACAATAAATTAAAAAAAACACTTAATGAGGAAAGTTAAGTCATTCGTTAAACAAACAAGAAGCACATACAGACACAAGTGTTGCCAAACGAGAAGTGATAGTTTGGTAGATGAATATAGAGGGAGCCACATGTGTCACATGAGCATGTCATTCTCTTATTACCGGAGAAGTGACACATAATGATTTGCATGAGAGACATGTTGGAATATTACAATTCCAATAGTGGAAGCAGAAGGCTTGTCGCATGCATAAAGAAAAAGTTCACGTTCACATATAGAGAGCAGCACCATACGGGAATAGTTAATTTTGTGAGAGGAGGTAAGTACTGTATCGGAATAAATACTTATTTTCAAATGGCTAAAAGAATCAAAGTGATGTCAGTAGAGTTAGAAGTAATCAGATAAAACAACTCATTAAACTGTGATACTTTACCACCATTTACTCTTTTTTCCTTAGATTCCTGATAATTAGCAGTATTCTGTGGTTGACAAGGATTCAGAGGTTGCCGCTGAGTTGGAGTAACAGAAGCCTGAGGAGGTAGAGGGGGTTTAGAAGATACATAAATTGGAGATGATGTTGTCACAGAGTTAGATATGGGACTTGACATGGAAGCTGTGGACTTGTGACATTGGGAATATGCTGGAGAAACAGTATGCTGTGATATCTTCGAAGAATACAGTGAAGATGGTGGAATTACATTTCGTACTTGTTTATTTCCTGGGCCACTCCTTCTTCTTTGGGGAAGAATGTATTGACTGTGAAATTTATCATTTATCTTTACAATTGTAGAAAATACAAGTATATGAGTTGAAACATTCATGTTAACCAATTCAGATACTAGTTAAGAGAACACTTGGGAAGATGTTTTATATGTTAGAGAACTTCCAGACAATTTTATATTGAAGCATAGTTGAGATACATATAATTATATTTAAGTTTGGTTACCTTAAAGACAAATAGTTACTTATACAGAGGGTTAAGTAACATACACAGTAAAAACAACCGTAGAAATAATTCCTATTAAAACTGTTTCTTTGACCTGTGCCCTTATGTCAAACTTTTACAACTATTAATGTTGATAAAACCTTTCTTTAGTTTTGTGGGTAGCTAAAAATGTCATCAGTAAATACATTTCTCCAATATACTTCCCTCAACTGCTATTTATCTATGTTCCTACAAAGTTCTTGTCATTAAAGATAATTCTTCATAAGGATAGGTTATTATTTAACGACAACTTGAGTATACAGAGTTACTGAAAGAAGGTTTTTAACTTTAATGCATATCCTCTCTGCAAAATGTAAAAAACTTAATAGACTGATTATTAATTAAACATTTTGAAGAAAGTTTAAATACAAAACTAATGTCAAATGTTTGAAGTTTTTCATAAATGTTTCAACAACACATTCAATATAATAGTGTATTAAGCAGTTTATCAGGTAATTACCCAATATAACATACTTTTCAACATGGTTTCAAATGCCCAGCAAACAAAAAGTCAGTTAACAAATATTTGTTTTAAGGTTGCAATCAATTTTCATGTATACTTGTTAGAAAACTAAGGATTAATCATTCTCTCTCAAGTAAATATAATCATATAATCACCAGTATAACCTATGAGATTTTAAACTTGAAGAGATCGATGTATATAAATATTTATGATAATTTTGACTAAATTGGATACTTACACTGTGTGTTAATAATACATTACTTTAAAAAATTAAAGGATAATGAGATTTAACCCTATCACTCCAGGTACCCTTGACTTCGCATGACACAAGGTTTTAGTGTCTTAGATTCAAAATTATATTAAATTACTTTTTTTTATGTTTTATCAATTAGAATAGCATAAAATCTTAGATAATAATTCACATTTTAATAGTGTACAAATTTTAAGTTCTTAATTCTAAGGTAATATTTAAAAAAATCTTTAATTTCCACTAGTGTGACCCACATGACACATTTTCTTTTAGCATGTCATCATCCCTACTTTATCCACCACCACTCGAAAAAGTATGAAATTAAAAGTAAAATACTCTATAAATTCGTTATTGCTCAAACAAACCATAATATTTATAGTCTTCAATTTTGTTTGGTTACAGAGCTATCAAATAGAAAATCAGCCCACTCCTGCCACACCCACTTGTCACATCTTCTCTTTCACAATTCGTTGATATTTCTCTCTCACATTTCATTATATTTTACCTATAACCAAAAAAAAGTCAAGGTTTTCATCTATCAGATGACACATTGTATAACCTTATATTCTGTCAATTTCACTCACAGTACAAGATTTGTTCCAGTGGGAAAGTTAACGACAAGCTTGGATGAATTTGTAACAGCTCTTGTTGCATAGTTAGAAAGCCATGAAATATTTGAGAGGTAAATTAATTTGTCTACTTTTTGCATATTATTAGTCTATATTCTTTGGTGCATTATTTAATTAAATAAGAATTATAAGTGCATTACTATCTATAGCATAAAAATTAGGGTTAATTCTCTTCAAAACCTGACAGCAAGAAAAAAGAATATTGGTTAAGTACTTCATTTCTTGTTTTTCATATTTATTCTTTATTTTTTATTATAAAAGTAACTAAAATCTAAAAATACAGATCTTTTTAAGTTATTTAAGACTAGATTAGGTAAAATATAGTAATAATAATATAATTCAAATGGTTCACGACGCACGCATGTGAGCAGCTTGTGGGTAAAGTAATTCGATAACTAAAGCTGCACGATCCCTGAGTTATTTACAACTTTTAATGGCACGGATAATAGTTAGACACAGTTCAAAGGGCAGTAAAACAATAAAATCTATTATAAATAGATGTATACTGTTACGAACTTAGAGTTACTTGGGATAAACAAATGTAGTTTCATGTTACAATCTGAAGTCATTCTAGAAAGAAAAAAGGGGTAATTTATGTTTATTTCGATTTTTTTTGGGGTGGTTACGAGGTTGGTCGAATTGACTGATCCCATTTTGAGATAGGGTAGAGAAAATATCAGATTAACTATAAAGTTTCACTGAAAAAACGTTTGAAATGCATTTAGGAGATTTTAGGAATTACACAAAAGAAATTTGAGATTTATGAAATGAGGAAAAGTATTTTTAGTTTTAACATGAAAATTACTTTGCATATGGACTATTCAAAACAAATACTCAATATCGTAATGGACAAATCTTTATTTTATTAAAAATACTTCACTACAAAATATTATTTTTTGTATGTGAAAGACGTAATATGACTGAAAGACTGCCAAATTTTGGAAAGACATGCATAGTATATTGAAAGTTAGAAGTATTAAATCTATAAAGACTTTAATCGAGTACAAAGAAGTCACATAGTCATTCCAATTGACCGAGCCAGTGTTGAGAGAGTTAAATTCATATATTTTTAGGTTAATTTTTTTTATCAAATTAGCATGCTTATTGTTGAGATTATACTATTCCTTTCTAGGCTGTCCAAGTTTATGCACCAATGATTTCTTATGTAATAGGCTTTTGTGAGAAATGACTCAAATTCTGCAAAGTTTGCTTAGATTGATTAAGAAAATTAGCAATTGATGTGTTCGAAGGAAAACAAAGTTTGATAATAAACAAGATTACAACACTTATGATATACAACATTGTTTATTAACAAAAAGGGGACACAGGTAAACATTTCAGAATTCTATCAGATTCCATTTTCTGTATCAAAAGCAAAATAAAATGAATTTACATAAGTCTTTGGACATTGCTAAAGTACAAATGCTATATTTAACGATAATTAAACAAATAAAACTACAGGAGAAACTACAGAAAGAAAACACAACAACAACAAAAAAAGTAAAATCAGTAATACAAACATATTAAAAAATGTATAATTTAAATGAAGACTGCATGTTGTTCAGTGTTGAAGAGTGCTGTTTGATGTGGAGGGTTTCTTTAATCAATAATTCCAGGTCAGTATTAGACTTGCAGAGGATAGAGAAATTTGATAGCATAGGTCTATGTCCTGTTTCTTCACTATATTGGCGTATAGAGGAAACACAGGGGTTACTCAATTATTTTTTTTTGCATTTTGATGGAAATTCCCATATGTTCATAGGCTCTGACTTTTAAATGGCATTTGGTTTTGCCAATATAGGAGGCCTTACAGTCTCCACTGGGTCCAACTTTAGCTAATGCATTTCTCTCTTATTACGAACAGAAATGGCTTGGCACCTGCCCAGTTGACTTTCGGCCTGTTCTGTATAGAAGATATGTAAATGACACTTCTATTCTTTTTTAATAACAATGCTCAAAAATTTTAGAATACCTTAACTCACAACATCCTACTATTACATGTGAGGTTGAGAATGATAATAATTTAGCTTTTTTAGACATGCTCATTAACCGTAATGCTAATGGATTTTCCACATCAATTTACCAAAAAAAGATGTCCACTGGTCTCCTTACACACTTTGATAGCTTTATTCCGTTTACGTATAAATGAAACCTTGTTATATGCTTACAAAACATACCTTACAGCCTGTGTTCCACATACCTTAATCCACACTCTGAAATTTCGTTCTTACATGATATCCTGAAATGTAACTGTTACCCACAACACTTACTAGAAAACATTACCAACACATTCTTAACAAAGAAACTCACAAATCCAATTAAGATACCAACTGTAACTAAACTTACTATATACTTGTGTCTTCCCATTTAAAAGTCAAAGCCTATGAACATATCGGAATTTCCATCAAAATGCAAAAAAAAAATTGAGTAACCCTGTGTTTCCTCTATACGCCAACATAGTGAAGAAACAGGACACAGACCTATGCTATCAAATTTTTCTATCCTCTGCAAGTCTAATACCGACCTGAAATTATTGATTAAAGAAACCCTCCACATCAAGCAGCACTCTTCAACACTGAACAACATGCAGTCTTCATTTAAATTATACATTTTTTAATATGTTCGTATTATTGATTTTACTTTTTTGTTGTTGTTGTGTTTTCTTTCTGTAGTTTCTCCTGATGATTATTGTTTTGTTTTATTTGTTTAATTATTGCTAAATTTAGCATTTGTACTTTAGCAATGTCCAAAGACTTATGTAAATTCATTTTATTTTGCTTTTGATACTAAAGATGGAATCTGATAGAATTCCGAAATGTTTACCTATGTCCCCTTTTTGTTAATAAACAATGTTGTATATCATAAATGATTATAAAAATGTTTGTTCTTGAGATAATGCTAGGTTTATGGATTTTTTGGTGGCATTAACTTTTGAAAAGTGTCTGCAAGCTGTTAGAAACCAATTAACTGAAACTGAAGTTTACAGAGTCATCACACTGTTCAGGAGGGTTGCACCCAGACTGATATGGCACAAGTCATGAAAGTGTCACAATCTGTGGTCTGTAGATTGTGGCTTAGATAACAGGCTACAGGTGGCCAGGCCAGGGAAGCAGAAGAGTTACAGGTGCAGTTTATAACTGATATCAGCAGAATGTAGCCCTCACAAATTGCACCAGCAGAGCTAGGGGCCTCAGGAGTGAGCTTCAGCAAGCCACTGGGGCACACATGTCATGCTCAAGGAGCTCAGAGCTGCCCTCATCCAGGTATGGACTGTGCTTCCCTAGAAAGTCGTCCTAAAGATCATCAGCATTATAGGGAACAGATGCAGGGAAGTCATAAAGAATAGAAAATAACCTACCAGCTACTAAAGACTCGTTTTGATAAGTTTGTTCATTTTAGCAGATTATTTTTACTTGTAGAGCCAAATATTGATATTTTATGTTAATTTTGCTTTTTTTGTTATTTGTAAACAAATTTTTAAATTTGTTTGGTATTATTTACCTGTGATATTTGTAACAAACAAGTTTAATTAGTACTGAATGTCTTCAAATTTTGAAAAAATATATCAAAATCTTATCATCCTTTCATTTTTGTTAATAATGTAGTACTATTTATTAATGTTTTCAGTCAAAAATACCTCTACAATTAACTATAATACTTACCAGTGACATTTTTATTTATTGTCTATATATTGCTATAGTGAAGTAATTAAACTGATTATTCCAACCACCACAATTTTGTTTTTTTAATTTAATCTCTTTTTATTTTTCATCTTCAATATTTTTGAAATTAAATTTAAGCTAATAAAACAGTTACTAAAAAATGGTTTGCAATGAAATAATTTTGCTCTTTTATATATTATACAACTTTTTTCTTACTTAATACGAAATTATTCATCAATCTAATTTTATACATATCTACTCTTAGTCTTTAACAGACTGCCAGAATAATTCAACACAACTTTGTATCAGTAAGTAAACTTGGAGAAAGTGAAATTCACTACTTGTATGACAGCACATAATAAAGTTGCATCACTTTGAAAAGCATACTTGTGATGTTTTTGAAAACAAGAATTATCCATCACACAGGGGTGAAAAAAAAGGCACATTTCTTCATTTCTTAAATTCTCCTCATGACCATTTTCTCATGTGAATGTTGGTCAATTTATGCTGTAAGACTACAGCAAAAGAAAAACAATCATTTAGCTCATCAATATGGTTTTATTTTGGAATTACCACAAACAAAAAATACTTTTGAAGGAATTAATCTTCTATTAAGAATTAATTACACCAAGAACATTAGCAATAGGTTAGGTTTAATTTAACCATATAAATTCAAATTTAAAAACTTTTTAACATCAGTAGGATATTCAATGACTTGCAAGGCAAGAACACCAGAGAAATTTAATCTGACCATATTAGTCACCTTTAAATGAATTTATTCAAATCAACTGGAAACAATCCTTGTGATTGAAAATCAGCAAATGAATGAAATCACCAGGAAAGGACTAATTTGTGTGATTACTGGTGTGGAAATAAGAAACCTGTCTGTGGTTATTTTAGGCTCGGAATCTTTTGAAGAGAAAAATCTGGGCCTTTAATAACTAGAATTTCCTCCTCTCAAGGGGATATTTTGTTTTCATTCTCTTCATGAAGATATTTTAAAGTTTGGACCTTTGGATCAAAAATTTCAATTACTGTTTATTCTTAGACACTTTCCTCAGTATATCACAATGTGCCTTTTTTTTTCACCCATGCCTTCACTTATCTTCTTCTTCTATAAATTGTTTGTTATTACAAACAATTCATTAAATCAAGATTTTATATTAATATTTTCCATAATCTTTTAACAAAATTCTTTAATGCTGTTTTTTCAAAACCTTTTAATAAATTTAAACCATTCATATTTTTACAACAGCAGTTCTTGACTGATTGAAATATCTAACCTCATCTAAAAGAGTGAATATGGTGAATATAGTGTGATTTGAATACTATTATTATATACTCCTCTAATTCTTGAAAGTCCATAAGGAACTAGATAAAGAATCCTGTGTTAAAAACATAATAGGCCTAATACTAATGTCTTATGACAAGTAAATTAATTATAATTGTGTTTCACCAGCTTAAAAACAGCATTCACACCATAAAAACTGTTGTAACTAATGGCTTAAACAGTATTCCAACTACTACTGTGCTTGTTGTGTCCTGATAAGCTCTGGATTTGGCAAAATACATTATTGGCAATGAATATGGCAAATATAGGGTAGTTATAAAAATTATTATACACTCTTCCGATTCTTAAAAAACTTCAAAGAAATATATATGGAAAGCAGATTATAATAGGCCTAATAATGATGTCTAATGACAAGAATATTAATAATAATAAGGCTAGAAGTGTTTAAACAACATGGGCAACCCTGATCAATTTGATTTGAATTCATGCTTCACCATTTACGTCAAAGCAATCTATAGGAAATAGAACTTAATGCTGCTTTTATTACTAAACATATAACACTTGTTGTTTCTATATTTCAAAAGATGACAAAATGGCTTACTTGGAACTAGTTTGTGTACTCTCTAATGGTCGTATCACAGCACTATACTTTTCTTCTTCATCACCATTTTCTACAGCTATTCTTGAGAGATATTGCTGAGAGTTTTCTATCTCCTGAGCTATCTTCACTGCTTTTGCTTCTTGTTTTTTATACTCTTCTGTATTTTTTGGTTCTAAAGGCACACTTTATAAAAAAATAACTCTTTATTACAATTAACATTTACAACTACCTCAAAAATTATTAACTATCTATAACATTGATAGGAACTGGTTGTTTTTGTTCAATGTATAAGATTAGAATAGAGCTTCATTTGAGCATCATAACTGACACTCAAAGCACATGTGAATGATGACAGGTTAAGTTACTTTCACTCAAGAGAAATATAAACTTACGATAAATACAACAAATATATAACATCCAATAATCAGTTTTTAATAGCTGGATTTTATTATGTTAGTGTTTCACTTGAAGCACTTAACTTTACATAACTGGATGAAGGCCTTGTGAGTAAGAACAACTATATCTGTTCATAACTATAGATGTTCTTACTTCATGTCACAAGCGAGGCTTGTGAATATTGATTATGTCTAATAAAAGATGTATCTTGGTTGCTATGTGGGTCCTACTTCCACACACCTCTCCTACATTCTACCATTTCCAACAAGTAGTTTGTATCATAGTTTTGTCTGCAGGTTGACAAAAAACTGCTAATTTGTCATCTTTAACAACCACATATCATCAGTGAGAAGTAAAATCTAACAATGAACAGTCCTTTAAGCAACCTTTTTTTTATAACACATACCACACCCACTTATGATGATTCACTGACTAGATTTTTAAACAGTCTACCACTCTGAACTTGTGTTCTGAAACTTTCAGTATACAAATAGAATGACAAATTTGTAATTTTTATAGTTAATATTCTGTATACACAATCATCATTAGATTATCAGCTCTGATTAACTTTAGGGTGCAGGCTGGCCCTCCAATAAAGCTCTGGATTTTGGAAATGGTTAGTTCGATTCAAAAACCTAGCATATGGAGAAGCTCATCATGTTAATTAACAATTTTACACTTCAGTCCACAAATTATTGTAGTTCTTAAAAACTGTCCCAGACTATGTGACTCTGGTTGAAGAAGCAATAGTGAAACAAGTTGGTAACCTAATATTTGGCCAGATAACCAAATCCTAAATGTATCAAGTTTAGCAGACAAATATTTTCAAACACACTTCCCACTCCGGTCTGTCCTTTATGTGCCATGTTACAGGTTTTTTGGCCTAAATGTTTAAAAAAGAAATCATCAAAAGTAAGGAAATGCAGTTTTATTATGCTCTTTTAATTTCAGAAGATAAAATCAATATGTAATTGTTGTTTTCATTAGATATATAAGTACATGTGTGTGAACAATTGAAAAATTAGATATTATAACCTACATAATTGGATAGTAATATATATATATATATATATATATATA